TTTACTCAGGTCAAGGAGCCGTCCCTTCATCAGTAATTGCCTCATTAACGCCGCTAATGATTTCCAAGAGTGTTTACCCAAATGTCCAATCCATCGAGAGGAGTCCCCGACCCCGGCTCCTCATCCTCTTCAATCACACTTTTCTTGAACTCATGCCGAAACAAAAACAAATCACATTTCGTGATTGTGTGCTGAAAACAGGACCCCCTTGTCCCCCGGGGCTCTAGTGGGCGATTGTTAATTTTCGACACGTTCTGTGGTAATATTTACTCCAGTATATGACCACTTCAGGCGACGAGGGGGGGGGAATAAATAAACAAGACGACGATTGGTCGAGGAGTCACGGTCAAAAGACTTGGTTCCTACTCCTCATTTCCCTGGAGAGGAGAACAACGGTGCAAGAAGCAAATTAAACATGTTCAGCTATACCCTCGCTCCCAAAGGGATCCGAGACTTACCCTTCCCTGATTATGGGCTTACGGTTTCATATCCGTGGCTGAATGTCATTTGCAGTCCACGTTGAATGATGAATGCTCTGGATGTCATAGAGAAACATGTAGCCTATATAGGCAGGAACTGGGCCAAAACTGCGAATATTAAAGACGACATATGAAGTTGTCGATTGGTTTGTTACTACATCACATAAGGTGCGTTTTAATTCACATATTCGTCGTCTGAACTGCACCATTAATGAAATTACAGATGCTAGAAACCCATTATGAACACCATCATTAACGCAGCTCGATGTTAAATGTTTTACTATGATTTCCTTTTCTTTTTTGATTTCCAGTTTACTAGCATGTTGTAAATTAATGTATACAATTAATCAGAGAGAATCAAAAGATATTACAGGATATTTTTTTTCACTCTAAAGTGTAATTGTGAGTGTTCGACTACAAGTACAACAACCGTTGCGCTGCTGACATTTCAATCCTTTTGTCCAAATCATTTTGGTATTTAAACCTGGCATGAAGTCCGTCTTGAATTTCACCAAGATATTCGCCTGGGAAAAGCAGCAATCAAAACAAACAAAACCCTTCCAAACTCATATATTAAAAAAAATCCCTTAAACTCTGAAATGATTTTAAGATGGACCTCCATCTGTTTGTGCCCATGGCCGGTTAGTACAGCTCGAGTTATTAAGGAAATAATTAAAAAATAATAATAAAAAGACAGCAGGTTTACGGATGATTTCTCAGATTACACTTGAAGCGTTGATAGAATTTTGACTGCTGAAATAACGGTTTTCCTAATAAATGTGAACACGTGGCCCATCTCCTTTATAATGAGTCATGCCGTGGATTACTCCTTTTTGTTTTTGCCTGTCTGCTTCATGTCAGCTTTGACAGTCAGTAAAATTAAAAACACTCCGCAGGAAAGTACAGAACGGCCAAAAAAGAAGGCTAAGCTTAATTTTTATTTATTATCATTCTTGTCTGAAACTATAAGAGTAAATTTCTTTTGGTATACCAAAAGCGGCTTGGCGTGGATTTAATGGGCGATGTAACGAGCTTTCTTCGAAACCTTAATGGGTCCATGCAATGAATTTTTCTTAGGAACACATTTTGTACATTTTTTTACTCCCCTTATGTATGAAAACTACATGACATCCATTTCTGGTTAATCTTATTGAAAAGTGCACTTCTTTAAACATTTAAAATTGTCCATGCTTTTCGGGACAACCGAGGGCGCTGTTGCTGTGATGTCATCTCAAGAAGACACAGTTCAGTTTAGGGAATTTCTGTTCAAATTGTGAACCCAAAAGTTTTCCCATTGAAAACAGTTGTGAGAAAGGGTTGCTCATTGGCTTACTGTCATGTACCGACTCAACAACGAATCACAAGAAAGTTGAATTTACGACAGCAAAATATCCAAAACTCAAGCAACTTGTTTTTGTGCTGAAATAGCTGTAACATTGAGGTTTCTGACTAAAATGACATCACAGTTTTGCTAATGAATATGGAAAGTCGCATTAGCATAAATAACAAAAAGGCACCAAAAATACCCTTCAACATGGCAAAACGAAAATTAAACATATAAGGTTAAGTGGGACACAAAGGTACATTTTTACAAGGACTTCATTAAAAACAAATACATTGCGTGGGCGCTTTAATGATTTAAGAAGACCAAACATGCCTCTTATAGGTACAAACACGTCATTAGCAAACTAGAGTTAAAAAAAAATAGAGGTTAACATTTATTATAAACGTATGATTTCTCATAGCATCCCGACTAGACGGAGATATCATATCGAGATTATTTTTTGTTTTATATTTTCTATTCATATCATGAGTCTTTTGTGCTTCAACCATGCCGTCCCTCCACTGGCAGGTGCTGCTATATGTGTACGTGCAGAATCATTTGAATAAATCGTTGTCTTTGCATCATTTCCCTTTCCTTTCCCTTCCGTGCTCGTATACCCTCTCGCTATCAGAAGTGAAGTACTATTTTTGGAGATCCTCTCCTTTGATAGAAGTGTTTATCTTTAGTTTAAAGGCAACAAAACAAGAGCTGCCTGTATTTTCTAACATAATTGGCAAGATCATGAGAAAAGTGAGGTGCTGTTGATTTTATCGATGTGAACAGGCTGCAGGACATTCAACTTCATTACTTCCAATAACATGAACGTCGACTATGACGTCAAACATAGAGTGTTTATAGATTATAACGCCTGGATGAGGTCGAGGCTCCATTTATCATCACGGCAATTTTAATGCTACGTATAAACGGTGTTTTTTCCCTTCTGTTTTCCCCCTTTTTATGTCACCCGAAATACGAGTTCAACTGAGTTGCATGATGTTTATCCACGACACAACTACAGACATGCTATAACACATACATGGATGCTACATTTTTGATATGAAATCTTGGTAAATATTGCAAGATTGCATTTTTCCTAATGGATTGCTGCGTGAAATTACGGGAATATGATCCGAGGCTGCGTCGAACTCTTCACTGTTAGGATGTGGATGGCTTGGAAAGATGTCAAAGGCATTAACAGAGATGAGACAAAGATGCTCCGTGTGCAATAACCGTTGCTCTTGTGACACTGAGTGAACCGTACGTAGACCATGTGTTTATAGCTAGCTCTGAGTCTAGGGCGACGAGCGATGGCAAAAGGGGAATAACCGTAAGGAGACTTATATATCTGAGAATGTGACCAAGACTTATATGATGCCAGGTTCGTATATGTTCGCCTATAGTTGGAAAGGACTTGGGGGAGGCTGATCGTCCTTACTTGTAGCAGAAGCCGAATTACGCAGCTACAAAGTGGTCGAGCCGAAGGCATGTAAAGGCGCCTAATGTTGCCGCCATACGACCCATATCTGAAAACGGAGCACAGCCAGATTGAAAGTGTTGATTTTTGCGGAGGGCCAGGGAGGAAAGCCATACTAACCCGGAGAAAAAGTCTCGTGACATGGGATGGGAGAGAATCAACGAGCAACTCTACTCACATTATGACCAGATCCGAATCGAAACCCGGGCCACAGTGGTGAGATTTGCGAGCGCTTAAAGCAGTAAAAGCACTGCGCCACCCATTGTGGTATAGTTGTAGACAATATACGACCGTTGAATGGTATACAAATAATGAATGTCTATGAGTGCAATGGTGAGAATATTTTCATGAGTTGAAAGATTGAACGTTCCATTCAACGAGGCGAAGCCGAGTTGAATGGAACATTCCATCTTTCAACGAATGGAAATATTATCACCATTGCACGAATGCAAACCATTCATTATTTGTTTTATATAACATCCATGTAGATCTTTGTTATCCGATTGGAGGATAAAGCTTTAAGAACAAACAAAATTGAATCATATTCACTACTTTTGTTTAGCTTGTTTAGGGCTAACAGTAACAAAGGTTTAAAATATAAAAAAAATTGACGATAAAATGACAAATAACATTGTAAGTTCTTAAAAAATGGGGAAAAAATCATCAAGGCAACTGTATCAACTTCAAAGGCAAGTTACTGCTGTAACGCATAGCGCCCTGACGCCGGGCCGCTGCGCGTCTTAGCGTGCGCGCGGCGTGCAATAGATCAAAAGGGATGGGACGAAAATGCATAGTGAATGGAACCAGCAATGCACGGTTATGACGTAGACCGTGCAGTGGTTCGATTAACGAATGCCGCGTGACCTAATCAAATGACAAGGATTTACTTACTATAAAATGGTAGGTTGAATGAGCTTATAAAGCGGTGTCTGAATTATGTGACAACAATTTTGCTTCCATTTAGTCGTTTCGAAAACGTATATCACTGCACCAATGAACCAATAAGCTCAATATCTGGCAGTGTTTAGGCCTTATGTTTTATACCACTCGATCAATAAATATCCAATATATCGACACTTTGAAAGAATAAAATCGAAAACGTCCAGTGTTAAAGAAACTAATTTTTGTTTTTGTTATACTACATGACAAGTGGCACACTTTCATGTGTTTTGGTAACTAAACACATGGACAGACACGCACTGGTTTGCAGTAAAAGTTACTGGAATCGCATCCGGAATATTCATTATAGCTACGCCACCCTGTATCAATTAGGCCTACGTGACATCACGCACACGGGTACCCGTGATTAAACCGATTCCCGGATTCCTACGGTTTAATGGAATAACAATTTGAGTGAAATTTTTGAAACAACGGTTTGAAGTCTCCAACTAGTTGGTGTAAAGTTCCACTCTGATATGTCATTAAGTTCGGTGACGTCATAGTGCTTGAACCAATCAAATCACACGGGTATCCTGACAAACTCAACAGCTATCGATGTGTGACGAACGATCATGGATCTAAAAGTTCAGTACAGACTAGGCCTACTTGGACTCCATGGTGGTTTGTTGTCATTAGTTTATTACACGGAACCTGCACAACTCGACATGTGGTATATCCATACAGGAAGGTAGGTTCATACGTGTCCGGAGCCAGACCACCGGTTTATTATCACGAGTTCAGTATAGCTTTTGCAGTACAGGTATTATTGTCAGTATTTCAGGGTTTCTAGAACAAGGCCGCGCTTTGAGTTGGTTGAATTACAGAACAAAATACGGTTGTTGGATGCATGATGACAGTCTTGCAAGCATGATTGTAGATCATGCTGTGTCTTAAGCTTCCTTGGACCAAGGATGTCACAGTGACGTCATGATGGATATATACACCTTCGTTGATGGAGAGTTATTCAAATTGAGGTAAGAAAGTCATGGTGATGACGAGGAAGTGGTGGAACGCGTGATGAGGGATAGTACAAGGGAGTGTGCTATCATTGAACCGAGGAGCCTGATTGGTTTTATAGGGCATAGTCCTGGGTTCGAATCCTGCCATCTCGGAATTAATAATAGCTTGATAATAGGAAAACTGAAAGAAAAACTTTTGACCGCTTGCTTGTAATTTTTAGGGGAGTATGTATGCCAGGTACTGTGCATTTGTAGTTTTTGTAGTTTTTGTACATAATTATTCGTAATATTCTGTACCAGAATATAATTTCTATGTTGTTTGTCTCTTTTCCTAGAATTAGCAAAAAGTAAAAGAAAGACTTTAGAGGAGATAAAAGTATTGGTAGTGAACTTAGTGACCGGGTAACCGCCTCAAAATTTGCCTTTGCAGTCCCAAAATAGCACATTGGGGCATAAAATCCCTCAAAGTCATTGCATCTGGCATGCAGGACGTCAATTCAAGGAAACCGGAAATCTATGCCGGAAACTTGAAAAAACAAGCTCATAAACATTGGTTTAAATCTCTGTAGTTCCTTTTAAAACGAACACGATAGCAAATTTAACAGCTGCATATGATGTGGTTTGTTAAAGTACATCACTGTATCCGAAAAATTGAACATTCTTCCATGACGGACAACTTACATCATCAGCCAATTCTGCCATATTACCGGAGCCCCTCTTATCTTAGTACATTGCCATACCAAATTGGCCTGGGTGTCGTATTTCAACCTTACTTTCGGTCTCAGAGGAGCGAACTCTAGCGTAAGCAGTTCAGTTCCTTCTTAAATTAATATTTTTCTGAGTGCCCAAAGGGCGGTAAGGGACACCGTCCTGCAAGTGTTTTATGGACTTATAGGCCTCTAAAACCCCGCGCCACGTGAACTTGATGCCGTATCGTAATTAAATCAATTGAGACTTGCGGCCAGATTGAATTATCTGTCTATTTTCCCAACCTTCCTAAAGTTCTTGTTAACTATCTCGCATCACTTCTACTTGTTTCAGCCTTCAGGGATGCACGGACGCGGCTGCAGTATTCCGGCGTTTGCATGTGCATACCATAAAATGGTCGTAAATTTATCATACCTTCATTGAACACTCGTCATCCCGTTGAATCCGTAGACGATACAACATTCCACGTGACCCGCATACATGAGGCCCGAGGTTCACATTTGTTTTTATACCCCAAGGGCCGGGCCCCCTCTATCGGTGACATATTGAGGTCGAATTCTTGTTTACGCGCGACTGGGTGGCTTGGGTATACCAAACAACATCATGACAACTTTGAGTGTCTGTCACTGTCGTTCTTGACTCGCCTGCGATCGATGTTAGCATACATGCTCGATAATGCGACGGGGCGCTTTACTCAAATTGTCTCTCACAAAAGTTACATTTCGTGTGTTATTATAACTAGATAAGAATGGGTAGGGCACTCCAGTCAGATGGGTGTTGTGTAGTGTCCACTTTAAAATGAAACACAAAACGGTTGAGTGCAGTTGAGATTATTAGCGTAATAATAATTACCCTGGATTTGACATTTGGGAGACATCCCCATAGACTAATTAGACCAAGAGCAATTGCGACAACAAAATTTTGCCTCTAAAAGGGACATTAGGGAGACATGAAAATGTCTCACCGATCGATGTCTCCCATTGTGCGGAGGAATTACGATAGCGTGTCTCCTTGATGGTACCATTACACGTGTAAGACACACACAAAACCTTACAGCAAAACAAAATGACACAATATCAGTTACCAAACTTAAAAGTTGCGATTAGACCGTTAATCAATTAGACCGGCCAATCAACCTTAACGTCTTGAGAGATTTCAATTCTTGAAACTCACGGACTGAATGTTTCCAGTAATATTCAGAATCACTCATCGCTTCAAAGATTTGCGAGAATTTCCGACAGAACGAGCAGTCATTTAAATTTATCCGTCTGTCCATAAAACGATTCACTTCCAAAGCCTCCAATTGGTAACACGCGCATTCCAAATGCCGCTCACAAATTACGAAACTAACTAAGTAAAATATGACGACAGATTCCGAACGACGCGCTAGTCATTACCTGATGAGATCTTACCCCAGCCAAATCCATCAAGTTGGAAATGAAAAGCTCGCAGGGGAATTGCTTAATTCATGGATAACATTCCTGACAGTAACCGTATGACAAAGTATCCTGCTTGCAAATTCCGAAAATGTAAAAGTGGTCTTTTGCCCAAATAGATTGATTCCTCTCTTAAATTACCGGTTGGACTTTCATTGATGCCCTATATTCGCTTTAGTTTTTTTTGGTATATTTCGCATTTAATTAGCTTTTTTGGGGGTTAGCTTTTTTCGAAACTGATAACCACAAATCGTTGCAGGTAAAACAGATTTGATATTAATGTCTTTAACCTATTATAACCCACTACGTTATCGCTTGTAATAACAACATATGGATACCAGTGGAAATTAAACTGCACGTTCGATCGCTGCATTGTGGAAAGATGGGGTCGTTTCAAGGTTTTCTTTTGTTAACATGTGTCAACCAACCTTGGAAAATGACCCAGTTGTGAAATGAAAAACTGTGAAATATTACACAAACGTCCCTGCAGGGGGAAATGCCCAGACAAAATTCGCACCTACATTTCAATACTTTTCATTATATAAACAAGCAACTCACGGTAAACAAAACAAATATTCAAAACAAGACTGGAAAAGCCGGTTAAAGCTGGTCCCAGTGTGTAATAAATTATCAACCATAGATTCAGAATTGTTAATCACTGAGAGTCTTCTCATGGATGTGGGCTACACAATGGGCCGGATTTACCTTACGCATTGTCATTATGGGGTAATACTATACGAAAGAACTGCCCGGCTCACAAGTGACTGTCAGTCGGATACATACAAAGAGGACACTGATTGAAACTCTAGGACTAGCCAAAAAGGTATAGAAACGGTTGGTCAAATTTACGATTATTCTTGCATCTATATGTATCCCCAAAGGGGTCTACCCGATGTCCCCCAATACCTATGTTCCCCAATACCGATGTTCCCCAAAATCCTTAGGATTAGGGTCAGGGTTAGGGTTAGGGTTAGGGTTAGGGTTAGGCCGGGTTAGGGTTAGGGTTGGGGAACATCAGAATTGGGCAACATCGGTATTGGGGAACATAGGTATGCACCCTCCACGAAGGATGTACAGGGCGACCTAAAAAAATTAATACAACCCTAAACATTTGCCTTTAAAAAAATAAGGATCGGTGGATTGTTATGTTTTGGGTATCAGATTAAAACTGAGAGCTTTTTCTTTCGAATACTGAAAAAAATCATGAAAATAACACTTCGGGTTGCTGAGAAAATGCCAATTATGTAAAAGTAGATTTGTTATCCTGTACACAAGTACTTCAAGCAGTGAAACATTTGACTGTATAAGCCTACTGTGCAATTATCCTTCATTTGTGCAATTTCTTTAGTATTTTGACATATTTATGATGCTGAAAAGGTTGAAAAAGGGATGAGAGGTGGAAAATAAAAGGTATTTTCATCAAACTCATTTTGTACTCGTGTCATATTATCATGTGCTGTGTTGTAAGGATTAGGACATGCACAAATGGGTACAGTGACAATCCCTTACTGTGGTAATTTTGCGTGTGTACAGGATGACAAATTACTACTTTTATATAATTAGTATTTTCTCGGCAACCCAAAGTGCTATTTTCATGATTTTTTTCAGTATTTGAAACTGGAAAATACTCTCAGCTTTAATCTGATACCCAAAACATCATAAAATCCACCGATCCATTTTTTTTTAAAGGCAGATGTTTTAGGGTTGCATTATTTGTGAGTCACCCTTTATATTTAAACTCTTTTGGTCAGTTTATCACTTAAATTTATTTCACAGCCTATTAAAAGTGACCTCTGGGTAAGTACATCTGTACCACTTGTCTCATAATTATCTTCTTTTTTTTTCAAGCCAAAAACTGTTATCACTTGAAAGTAGCATACAGAACAGGACCAGCATAATTATTTTGTAGTATCTGACGATAAACTTGCTGAATTTCGCTGCATCTCTGTAGTATCAAAATGAAAAACATCGGATAATTTTTTTTTTTTAATTCACAGCTGTCAAAGTTAGCTGTGGATCAGAAGAGGCCTAAAATAGCTTTAGGTAAACCCGCCATAAATTATAATTTATCGATTTGTGAAGTAACAGATGTCCCAGATATGTCAAAGCTGTATGTTTTTTTTTATAATTAATGATTTTAATGATAAACTGCTTGTAATGATTATAAGAGCTATATAGATCCAGATGTACAGATCGTGAAGCATTGTCGGTGTAATTGTAATTTAGTGTGCATGTAACGTGATATGTCTTGTAATATTTGCTTTCCAATTCATCAGTGTCATCCAGAGGAACGAAGACTAACGACCCGAGATCTACGGTTTGTCCCAGAAAAAGCGGGCCCGAAAAATTGAGCATCAATATCTAAAGAAATATTCATGCCAGACTAAATTGTGTTTTTGTTTTTTCATGTTGTTGATGTTGGTTATTGCCTGTGGAAAAATAAACTGAATTGATTGAAATCTTTTAGAGCCATGACTCGAAACGTAAGAGCTCCATAAAATCGAAATTTGCACTTTTTTGCGGCATCAACTTGTGCTGGTATAAATTAATGGAGAGAGGAAGACCAAGAACCTATATCACACACGAACACATTTCACATGCAAACAAGAAGAGAATTGTGTTTATTTCAGACCACATTTGCATGTAAATAAAAGACACCCTCTCTTCGCATTCGCAGAAGTATCTCTTCTTGTTTGCATGTGAAATGTGTTCGTGTTTGATACAGGTTCGTGGTTTCCCTCTCTTCACTAATTTACCAGCACAAACTATGCCGCAAAAAGTGTCAATTTCGAAGTTATGAAGCTCTTAAATTTCTTGTGATGGCTTTAAAAGTTTTTAATCAATTCAGTTTCTTTTCCACAGGCAATAAAC